AATAATTGAGAAGAACAGTTAGTAAGCATACATCGGCTTTCGATAAATTATCATTTTGTCATTATATTTATGTGGGAAGGAGGTCATTACATAATCTACGCTAAGGGGGTCAAAGGTGAACATGCGGACGAAAACGTTCGTTTTTGCATGCAAATGAGTTATAGTTGTTGTAAATGTGGCCAAAGCCGAGATGTCACCGCCTAATTACGCCTTTTGTGAGTCCCCCGAGGTAGAACACGACAAGAAGAGCGCAAGAGCAGGAGTCTTCTAGCGTAATTAGAACAATATATTTAAGGTAACGAACAAAGGTGTACCTATGTCCATTGAACCTATCAGATACTGACCTGGCACGAGTAGCGACACGATTGGCTTGTGACTCAACGGCTCATTTGTGAGATTCTTAGCCTGACTGCAGCTTTAAATTGTTGATTGATTGATTGAAAGTCTGCGTTCGCCGCGTGTAGGCGGATCGATAGCTGGCTGCTCCTAAAACAGGTGACAGGGAAGAGGGGTGTTGATGATCGGAAATAGGCAGTTGGTTACGTGGCAGTGAGGGCTTGTTGAAAGTGCGCCATAGGTAGTGTGGGAAGGAAGGTAGAAAGAAAGCACACATGGCGCACAAGGTTGATTCCGAACATTTTGTGGACCCAACAAAATCCTCCCCCTGACCCGATTTCAACAAACTCTCACTACCCCGTAAAAAGCGGCCTATTATTGACCAAAACACCTTTCCCAATTCCTATGACTCATTCGCATGCAATGGTGAACGTAATTTCTTTGACTCCCTTGCCATATAATGGCCCGATGAGAAATTACCGAAAGCATAACCAGGCTCGCTAACTCCTCTTCTGAGTAAACAGTGTAGGCGGGGTGGGTTTACTGTTCAAGACTGACTTCTCCATATATGTTTAAGCAGGCATGGTTCGGTTAGGTTCTTCCTTGGGTCAGAAAGCTGCATCCTAAGGCCCCTGTTGTATAACCTCCCTATTACGACTATTTCCATTGATACCGGTCCACGAGTTGCTTTTTTCTGGCGTCGACTACATACCTTATCCGTGGCAAATGTCTTTTCTGCCTTTTTACCTGTTTAGTCCCACCGATTTGTATGAGGGCCGACTGCACCGAGCACCTGCTTATCTCTTCTCTTTGTTTTGCCTTCTAGCCCAAGGAGGGACGAAAGTTGCGCATTGGCTACTTTACTGATCTCGAGTGCTTCGTTGCGAATCCTGCTGTTCGAAGAGCCATTCTGCACACAAAAGAGAAACTCGTTAAACGTGGGCACGAGGTAAGCTTTCGTGTTACTACAGTTGCCGTTCTTATTGTAAACTGCAGCCTTTTTTCTTACACCAAGTTACCAGTTTGTAAACTTTCTGCTGGCCATACTAACCTTAGTCTTATTGGACATGACACTGAAATAAGAACGTCCCCTTGCTAGGGATAGCCCCACGCATTTTCTTTTGTGAACTCATGTTTGGGCATGTGACACATGACAGACAAGATCATTAGGTGTGGCAATTTCGCAAACAGCTGCTGACCAGCTCGGACAGTGGCCGGGGCCTGGTAATGTGGGTAGGAAATAAGGTCAATGGCTCAGCGCCTGCTCTTTAGCCTAACATCGACCCCCTGTGAACTCTCTTCTCTTAAGAATGACTTACCAATTACCACCCAGGAATTGCATTTTTGCTATAATTACCGTAAAACGTACCCGTTCGAAGCTACACTTGTGCGCTTAAAGACAGCTTGGAGGGTTGCCAACTGACGGCATAATACAGGCCACGCGTTCAATCAGCTGTAGGCTTCTCCGAGCAGCCGGCAGTTGGACTGAGAGTCAGGTTGCAGTGGCTCCTTTTGGAGGTGAC